GCAGCCCGATTCGTAACCACTACGCTACCAGAGCTCCTTTTTATAAATACCCTTAAATTTGTTGAGGTTTTTCCTGTCTATACTTTTTTTTTTGTCCCTCAGCATTTTTATCAGGACTGTCTGTTGGATTTTGTCAAAGGCCTTTTTTGTATTGCTCAGTATGCTCATGTGTTTCTTTTCCTTTGTTTTATTTATGTGGTGGATTGCATTGATTGCTTTTCTTATTTTGAATCTTTTTTGCATACCAGGTATGAATGCCACTTGGCATAATATATTATTACTATTATTTTTGATGTGCTCTTGGATTCTATTGGTTTGGATTTTGTTGAGACTTTTTGTGTTTATGGTCAGAAGGGATATTGGTCTATAATTTCCTTTTTAGTGATGTCTTACAAGTTTTCTTGTCAGGGTTATGCTCACTTAATAAAATCAACTCAGGAGTATTCCATCCTTTTCTATACTCTGGAATAGCTTGTGTAGAACTGGAGTCACCTCTTTTTCTGAATGCTAGAATTTGCCAATGAAATCTTGTGAGCAAGGAATTTTTTATTGTTGTTTAGGTTTTTTATTGCTCCGATCATTTTATTCTTTTTTTATGGGTCTGTTCAATTTTTCTGCCTCTGTGTTAGTTAAAATAAGTAGTGTGTTTCTAGAAATTTGCCCATTTCTCCTAGGTTTTCAAATTTGCTGGAGTGTAGTTTTTCATGTTATTTTGTTATTATCCTTTTTATTTTTGTTGGTTATGTTGTGATGTTACCCATTTCCTCACTTACTTGCGTTATTTGCATCTTTTCCCTCTTTTTATTTGTTAGATTTGTCAGTGGTTTGCTGAATTTATTAATCCTGTCAATGAACCAACTTCTGGTCATATTGATTCTTTTCTACCATTTTTGTGTTTCATTTGCTTCTACTCTAATCTTTATTATTTCTTTTCTTCTGGTAAGTGTAGATTTATTTTTGCTGTTTTTTCCCCTAATTGTTGGAGATGTTGGGTTAAGGCATTTATTCTGTTTTCTGTTTCTTTTTTAATGTGTGTGTTTAATGCTATAAATTGCCTTCTCAGTATTGCTTTTGTTGTCTCCAAAAGTTTGTATTTGTGGTGTTTTCATTCACATTTGATTCAAGGACTTTTAAAATTAACAAAAAATTTTTTCTAATATATAGTAGTTTTTAAGCAGAGTGCTATCCATTTTCCATATATTTTTTCCCTTGATCTTTCTATTGTTGATTTCAAATTTCATAGTGCTGTGACTTCAGAGGATGTTTTGTAGTATTTTGATATTTAAATTTTCTTGAGGCTTGCTTTGTAGCCTAACATATGATCTATTCTGGAGAATATTCCATGTGCACTGGAAAATAATATATATTGTGATATTGTTGGGTATTGTGTTCTATATATGTATATGAGGTCAAATTTGTTGATTATATTGTTTAGTTCTTCTGTTTCTTTGCTTAGTTACTTTCTATTGTTCTGTCCTTCTTCAAAAGTGGTGTATTAAAGTCTCCTATGGACTCAAGCGTGGTAACAGTAGTGAGTGAGGTTGGCCCAGGATCGGGCAGTGTTTCATTCTGCTGTGCTTAAGATCGCTATGGATCGGTAACGACCCTATGGCACCTAACAACAACAACATTATTATTTTAGAGTCTATTTCTTTTTTTAGTTCTGTTAACCTTTGATTTATGTATCTTGGAGCTCTTTATTTATTATTGCTATGTCCTCGTGGTTGATTGACCCTTTAATCATTGTATAATGTCTTTACTTGGTGCATATGTTGCCTTAAGTCTATTTTGTCAGAAATTGATATTCCACCCCTGTTCTTTTGATTGCCATTTTGCTTGATTCCCCCTGCCATCCTGCTTTTTTTTTTGTCTTTGTGTGTAAAATGTGTCTCTTGCAGATAGCATATTGATGGGTCCTGATCTCTGTCTCTCAACTGGTACATTTATTCCATTTAAATTCAGTGAATTATCAATAGGTATGAATTTGTTGGTTTTATTTATTTTTTGTGTATTTTGTGGTTCTGCTGGTTTCTTTGTTCCACATAATTTTCTGTGCTGAGTTCATTTTGTTTGTGGGTTTTCTTACAAATTGCTTCATTGCTGTTGTTTTAGTGTGTATGAAATCTTTATGATTTTACTCTTTATTTTTTTTTCATACTCAATAAGATAACAATGTTTATTTTTAAATTTTTTATTATTTTTTTAAAGTAACACTTTCCTACAAAGAATACAAGATGCAAATGTAGAAGTTTTAATTTATAACAATAAATTTTCATAATGCTTGTAATACTTTTTAAAGTGGGGGAGAGAGAATATGAGGTAGACAAAAAGATAGAAAAAAAAAAAGAGAGCGAGAGAAGAATGAAGGGGAAAGAGCTACATAAAAGAGGGTAGAAAAGAATGAACAAAATAAATTTAACTGGCAGAGGACCCACCAGCAATAACAGTGAAACTCTTAGCAATGTGAGTTTTTGCCTCGTAATGAATTCATAAGACATTCTGGTCTTGCTTCATCCACAAGGACTAACCCCTCACAATTGTAAGCAGATAAAGTTGAAGGAGCGGAAAAGATGCCCATGCACAGGGTTGAATGGAAGTGTGAAGGCTTTGGGAGTAGTTACAGAAAAACCTTGGGTAAGCAGAGTGATAGTGTGGTGGGAGAGGGCAGGACACAGGAGAGTGAGAGGAGCAAAAAAGGTGAGGAAAGAACTTCAGAAGAGGAGCCTGCGAAGTGTTTGGAAAGGCCCACCAGTGGTGGTATAAAAATATAAAAGTAACAGAGCATACTCTTTGATTTTTCAGAAACAGGAGGAGTTGGAGTATGGTGAGAGGGTTAGCTGAGAAGAAGAATCCAGAGCAGTGCAGCCCTGGACATGGACAAGACAATGGAGCCCACAGGTCATGAGTACGCATGGTACCTAGAGAGATGCACAGGACAAAATACTAATTTCTAGGACCTCTGGTTTGAGGACATGGTCCTGGAAAGAAATGCTGAAGTCCATTACAAGAAGCACTGGGACCATACACAGCGCTGGTGTTTTCTGGGCATCAAGGTTGCCTGGCTTCCTAAATTACTTCCTAGGCTTTACCATGAGGCAATCACAAACATCTCATAACTGGCTGCTCTGGAGAAACCAATGACCAGTGAGTTTACAGTTCAAAAAATAAAGTATAAGTAAATCAACAGTGATGGGTAAAGGGAGAGGAAAATGGAAAAGGGTCTTCTTCTCATCTGTCCCCACAGAATTCATGTTTCTCAGAGGGAAGAAGAAAAACAGAACTTAACATTTCCATTCTTTTCACATCAAATGGTTATTCCAGAGAAAGTACAGCAGCATATGGACTCTTCTGAAGGAAAAAAAAGATGAAAGGAGCCAGGGCATCTCTGTCTTCCTGTGGAAGATTCTATTGAACCATCCTTTGAGCGATGCTGTATCCAATATGTTTTAGCTTCATGGCCAACTCCTGGTAATGGCTCTGGCCAGTGCTGTTCTTCTTGGGTTGAGAAGGCAAATTGTGATCTGGGTGCCTTGACATTGTTGAAACAAGCTGGGAGCTGACAAGTTGGTACATGCATGCCTTCCCTCTTTTTTATTTTGATGAGAAGGTTTATTAATTTACCTTGAGGCTATTCTGCGCCTTATTATTTCTTCCCAAGTTGAAATCTACTTGATTTCTTCATTTGGAAGTTCTGTGACTACACTATTTATTCCCTCCTTTCACTTTGCACTTGTCTTCATTTTACAAACTGATATCTCTGGTTTCCTATTTTCAATCTTGTAGGTTTATTTTACTTTGGATACTTCTATATCTGGGTTGGTTTGGGGTAGTGTTTCATGTGTATCAGTTTCAGCTTGTTGTCTACCATTGTTGGTTCTGTCTGAAGAACTCCCTTTAGTATATCTTGGAAGGTTGGTCTAGTTTTTACAAAATGGTGAAATAATCATATTTGAGGGACAATTTGGCTGGGTGCATAATTGCTTGTTGTGAATTATTTTTCCCTTGGAGTTTTATGTATGTCATCCCAATGCTGTCTTCCAATAAATTAGAGCTTAATCTTATTTGTCCTCCTTTGTAAGCAACTTTTTGTTTTTCTTGAGCAGATTTCAGGATTCTTTCCTTATCTTTGGTTTGCAGAGTTTGATTATGCCTTGGTGATTTTCTTTTGTGGGTCTGTCCTGGTTGTGATTTGTTGAGCTTCTTGAATGCAGATTTTTTCATCTTTCAAAATCTCTATATCTTTCTAAAACATCAATGTCTTAATTTAAAAGAATGGGAACAGTGCATCTACCTCATAGTATTATGGGAAGTATGTGTACTTATTAATGCTAATCTCTTCATTTGGAGTGTGGCATTTCAGTATTTACTATTTTCTTTTTAAGTGACATGCTCAGAGTTATGTAAGCTGTTCTACTTTGCTATAATGATATATGATAATACTAATGCCAGGGAATGAATATGTGACTAAGTTTAGATCTTAATAAGTTGTATATTTATTATAGTAAGAAACATTGGTTCTTTCTATTTCTCATTTCAACTGAGAAACAAGCAGTTACACATCATCATCAGCCTAGATCTTAATTAATAGCATGATATTGATTTAAGTAAAACCCTTGATTATTTGGTACATTACTTGAGACCAAAAAAAAAAAAAAAAAGATTTGAAAACATCGCTATTCTTTAATCAAATAAGATATATGGTGGGTGTTTCTTTTACAACTAACTTGACTTTGCCATATATTTTACCATTTTCTATTGCTACAGACAGTCAAATTGTATACAAAAGTCCTTTAAGTCCACAGATACGTTCACTCTAAGCAATTTCTTTGTTCTTTAATAACAATTTCCATCAATACTCCAGGTAGTCACTGCTCAGAATCCAGTTCCTCTCTGACAGTTGACTGTTGGGGGTCCTTCAGTGACATTTCTTTAGCAGGTGCATTGTGATATTTTTCACAGCCATCATGGTCTCTGTGCAGGTGGGTTTGATGAGCATCTCTGGGAGTAAAAATCCAAAATGCCCAGTGTCACGGAGTTCAAAAGCAAATGCATAGGGTATTCCATTTTTGTATGCCCAATCCATTGAGCTACCAGAACTCACATCTAAAAGTTAAAAAAGAAAAGAAAATTAGCCTCACAAATACTGAAATTAACCCACTGCCTTTGAGTAGATTCTAACTCATTACAACCCTGTAGGACAGAGAAGAACTGCTCCATAGGATTTCTGACACTAACTATCTATGGAAGCACAAAGTGTCATTTTTTCCCCATGGAGCAAGAGGTGGGTTTGAACCTTGTGATTAGTAGTCCAGTGCGTAACCCACGGCACTACCAGTGATGCTTAGCCTTACTACAGAGTCTATATAGTTTTCAAAATGTGTACCTAGCAGTTGTTTACAGAGTTATTCCAAACCCCCCAATTAAATATCATTTCATTAAGAATTATTTAACTGTAGTACTATAACATTTTTGAAGATCTAAATATTAATGCCTTTTTAGTATAATACCCTCAAAGTTGCTCAATCTGAATTCTGATAATAGTTATTTCCACTGTCACTTATTCACTAGGAGACAAATCCATTGTCAAGGTTTGAATTGTGTCCCCCAAAATATGTATCAACTTGATGGACATGATTCTTAGTGATTGGGTAGTTATGTAAAGATGCAAAGTGAAAGTTATATAATTATTAGTCCTCCCCCATTTAGTGTTCTGATATAACGTAATCACCTCATGATGAGACCTAATATAATGTGGTCATATCTATGATGATATCTGCTATGAGAAATCAATCAACTTAAAAGGAAGCTTCATTGGATATGTGACCTCCATCACCTTTTATCTTACAAGAGATAAGAGGCAAGAGAAGATAGCAGAGGAAAGGGTTTGCTAACACCAAGAAAGAAGAGTTGGGAGCAGAGTACATGCTTTGATCCAGGGTATCTGCAGTGGGAGCCTCTTAAACCCAGAGGAAGATTGATGCCATGAACATGACCCACGGGTGCTGAAAGGAAACAAGAAACTTCCTCATAAATTGTGAGCCAACAAATAACGAAAGTCTTGCCCTTGAACTAGTACTCTGAATTTATACTTCTAGCTTCCTAAACTGTGAGATACTGTCCTATAAGATAATATCTATGCGCCTACAAGGAAGACCAGTTAATACCACTATTATTCAAATTTACACACCCATCACTAAAGCCAATGATGATGAAATTGAAGAATTCTATCAACTTCTTCAGTCTGAAACTGATCAAACATACAATCAAGATGCATGAATAATTACTGGTGACTGGAATGTGAAAGTTGGAACCAAAGAGGGAGAATCAGTAATTGGAAAATATGGCCTTGGTGATAGAAATTATGCTTGAGATTGCATGATGGAATTTTGCAAACAACTTATTCATTGCAAATAACTTTTTAAAACAACATCAACAGTGACTACATACATTGACTTCACCAACTAGAATACACAGGACTCAAACTGACTACATCTGTGGAAGAGATAATGGAGAAGCTCAATATCATTAGCCAAAACAAGGCCAAGGACTGAATGTGGAGCAGACCATCACTTACTCATATGAATGTTCAGACTGAAGTTGAAGAAAATTACAACAAGCCCACAATAGTCAAAATATGGCCTTGAACATACCCCAACTGAATTTACTGACCATCTCAAGAACAGATTTAATGTGCTAAACACAATGTAGATCAGGGGAAGAATTCTTATGTTATCTAGATCTTGATCTAGATAACTATTGGTTCTCTACTACTTCTCCAGGATCTATTTCATTTATAAAGAGTTCTCTCTTTCATCTTCATTGACTAAAATGCTCAAGAGCCCCTTTCTTAAGAAATTATTTCCTTTCCCGGATCCTGTTACATACACACACACATATATTTATATACACCCTTGGTCACCACCATCTTTATCTTCTTCCATTTGCTTCAGAGCTCAAAAGAGTATCTATGTTGCTTCTATATCCTCTTTTAATCTTATTCTTGCCTTCTATCAGTACAGCCTGGTCTGACCACTTTGTGTCTAATTAATCCCGTCATTTTCTACCAGTCTATGGTGAGCTGTGGGTTAGTGTGCTATACTTCACACCACATGGTTTGAAATACAAGGTCGGTGGTTCAAGCTCACCAGGTGCTCCTTGGAAACCCTATACAGGGTCGCTATGGGTCAGAACTGACTCAACAGCACTTAACAACAATAATTAAAACTTTATTCTTGATGGGCTCTGATGATTATCCACCTAATCTCTTTAATTTCTTCCCCCTCAGATCCCACATTCAACTTTGCAACAACATTTCACAGAGCATCTAACAATCCCTTCTAGAAACACTTTTGGGCTCTTAGGGTCTCTTACTTTCTACTCCTTGAGCACAGACCTTGGAAGCACAGGCCTGAGGCTCAGGTGCTGGCTGGGGTTGTAACCCGATTCTACCTTTTGACTTCTCTGTGGCTCACTCTCCTTTTTCGAAAACAGGAATGATAATACTTAATTTACAGGGTTGTTATGAGGATTAAGTGAAATAATAACTCATTGTAAATTGCTCAAGATATGTTAGCTGGTACTATTTTGCATCTTTACAACCTAAAGTGCTAAAAATGTAGATTTTAGTGTAGCAGGATCTTTATAATTATTTATTTAATGCATAAATGTTATATAGAAAAATCTTTTTTTTTAATGCTATTTTCCCAGGACAGAGTTAGAGGTACAAGCTTTATGTGAAAAGAATAATTAAATAACTGCTGTTTCTCCAATTCTCCTTCCTTTGATTAAGGACAGAGTATAAACTGTGACTTCTGCATGCTTCCCTAGGTTAGAAAACACTACAATTGTAAATAGTAGTCGTAGTAGCAAAGCTAGAGACAGTATATGCAACAGCTACCTCATGGTTATGTGGCAACCTCATTCCTATGGCAACAGATTGTTTTTGATAAAAATAATAATCTGACTGTGCCTTGATAGCTGATGAAAAGGTCAGCTGTGCATAAGATTAAAAAAAACAATGTTTTAAAATTGTCCGTATATTTTGTTGTTGTTAAATGCTGTGGAGTTGGTTCTGTCTCACAGTGATCGTGTATAGGATTTCAGAGGAGCAGCTGGTGGGATTGAACCAACAACCATTTGATTAGCAGTTCATTTGATTAGCTTATCTTACAGCACTACAGTCATGCTTAATGTTAATTGGTACTGTGATTTTTTGATACCCTATAGCTCCATTCAGTGTGACTCTGCTGAAAAACAATTCTAAAAGAGCAACATAGGAGCAGTGATTATGGACTTTAAAAAGAATTCTATTGATAACACCATGCATTCTTATTATTAGGGTAAATTTGTTTGACAAGCAATGTTAATCGACAGACCAAGCTTATCTACTGAAGGCTGAAGGAATTGAGTGGTGAGATGTTAGGAATATAATGATGGGTAGATTTAAAGACATCAAGGAGAAATTTGCTACCTCTGAGAAGCATAAGATGTTGCTATTTATACTTACATGTATGTTGTTGTAGCGTCAGTTCCTACTCATAGCGACTCTGCATAGGGTTTCCAAGGAGCAGCTGGTGGGTTTGAACTGTCGACCTAGTGGTTAGCATTTCAGTGCTTATCCTACAGCACCACACCAGGGTTCCACCCAATGTATAAGTACTTTTATATACATACACTTTATATACATATACCTATATCTTTATATGGAGTCCTGGTGTGGCGCTGTGGGCTAATTTGAACTGCAAGGTTGGTGGTTCAAGCTCACCAGCTGCTCCTTGGAAACCCTATACAGGGTCGCTATGGGTCGGAATCGACTTGAAAACACTTAACAACAACAACAACAACAACAACAACATACCTTTATATGCATACATATTGTTGTTGATGTTAGGTCCTGTTGATTCAATTCTGACTCATAATGACCCCGTGTTGTAGAGTAGAACTGTTCCATAGGGTTTTCTTGGTTGTAATCTTTACAGAAATAGATCACCACGTCTTCCTCCTTGGAAGCTGCTGTGCAGGTAGGAACCACCAACCTTTCAGTTAGCAGTAGACTGCTTAACTGTTTGTGCCACCAAGGATTGTGTATATATACATGGGTGTACATGTATATGTATATATGTTGCTAAGTGCTATTGTGTGTGTGTATATACTGTTGTTGTTAAGTGTTGTTGAGTCAGTTCCTACCCATAGCAACCCTGTATGTATATAAATTGTTGTTAAGTGCTGTCAAGTTGGTTCTGACTCAAAGTGACCCTGTATAGAGTTTCCAAGAAGTGGCTGGAGAACTTGAACCTCCGACCTTTCGGTTCAAACTGACTTCGCAGTCCAGCACATTAACCAATAGCACTATACCAGGGCTCTCTCTCTCTCTATATATAGAAATATATATGTGTAAAATGTATGCATAATTTATGACTAGTATTTCCAAGTCTTATGGTCAGTGAATTTTAGATTCTGAAAGGCCTTTGGAAATGATCCAGCCCAATTTCCCATTTCATAGTTGTAGGAACCAAAGTCCAGGATTAATAAATATGACCAGGATCATCTACACCTGGCTAGTGACAGAATTAGGACTAGAATCCATGTCTCCTGATTCTGTGCCTAAATTCTTTCCACATACCCAGTGGCTCTTAATTCATACCAACACTTACTTACCTTCTGAAGGAAAATTTAACTGAAAATACTACATAATGAATCAAATTTCATAACAAGAGTGGTGGGGAAAAGGAAGAAAAGGGAAGTTAATTTCTTCTAGGCCTGAAGCATTTACTTCACTATCTTCTCAAGACCAATTTCCACCCTTACAGTAGTTAAAACAGCTTAAGGAGCCCATTTTGGTTCTTTCTGTGGCCCTAAGATTTCAACTCAACTTCTAGTCATTACTGCATGCTCAAAACATTCTCTGCTTAGACTATTGTTTAAATTTGTACAATGAACAACCTAACCAGATGTAAACTCCCTCCATTTTCCTTGGCTAATTTGATAGTAAAAAAATCACTTTAAGGGGAACTCCTTTTCTCCTTTCTAGAGGGAAGTCCTTTCAAAGGGTATTGGTTCAAGAGGTAACATACAGGACACTTACACAATGTGCTGGAGGCAGGTCCATATCTATACTGTACCCCGTATACTGACCGAAGTGCATTAACAGCTCTATAAGCTGCAGATTCCTGTGGGGAGGCAGTGTGAAGAAATGAGAATTATTTATGTCATTGCACTGAAATAAAAAATACAAAACAACAACATTCAGATGGTGTTGAGCCTTATTGGTCATCAACACATAAAACAACAATCTGCATATTCACATATGTTAGTAATAATATTATATTACTCTTATATGAGAGAGCTTCAAAAAGTTCATGAAAAAATTTCATTATCTTTTCACTCCATTTTCCCAATAACTTTGTGAAACCCTCTCTTCTCATATGCTATAAAATTAGTACATTTTAGAGCACATTAACACACTTGATTTGATTCTTAGAATGAGTCAGTGATCAGATAACTTTTCATTTTACTGATGAGAAAAAGGAAGACTCTGTGAGGTTAAGGGAGTGAAGTGGGATGTGGTTGATATAGGAAAGTTACTCATAACTTCTGATGCTGATTTAGTGGCTCCTGGTGTGGTGCTGTAGGATCCGCAATGGACTCTGAACCACAAGTTCAGTGGTTCAGACCCATCAGCTGCTCCTTGGAAACCTTGTTATACAGGGTCATTATGAGTTGGAACGGATTGAACAGCACTTAAAAACAACAACAACACTTCACTTATTTTAGGGACATTCTATAAATTGCAGGAGATTTGAAAGGTTAGGAATCATGTCAGTCTTACTCATAACTGTATACCCAGTACTTAGCAATGTGCCTGTATATAGTAGATGTTTAATCAATATTTCTTGTATGAATGTTGAATAAGCACAGATATTTAAAAGTATCAAGATAATTTTATTGATTCTTAAGTACTTTAGTGAATAATATTCAAGACATTTAAAATACAACTGGGTCAATTAAGAAGCACTTGAATTCAGTAAGAATGACTTCTCTCATATTAGTGTGTTTTTTCTCACTGGGCATAGGAATAATAATTTCAGAATGCTGCATGAATTCTAAGGTGGCTCTGTGGGCTAATGCCTTAGACTGCAAAGTCATTTGAACTTCAAGGTTGGTGGTTCAAGCTCACCAGCTGCTCCTTGGAAACCCTATACAGGGTCTATATGGGTTGGAATCGACTTGACGGCACTTAACAACAACAACAACAACAACACATCTCTGGCAGAGTTAAGTTAGGCACGCCTAAGATTTAGAAATTCCGAGGTGGAACTCTTCCTATCAATCTCAAAAATCAAGAAGAATATTATTTAGTATTATATTTCTAATAAAAATTCAATGAAGTGAATATTCAAGCAAGGATTAGAATAATATGACTGTCCTTTAATTTTCTTTTAAACGATATCAAAGCACTAGTTTCAGCAAGGAGTTAGAGAAGTATTGTATGACATGTGGGAAGAAAAGAAGTATGTTGAAACCAATATACAATTCTCCTATTTCAATTTGCCTATGAATAATTTAAGACTTAAATTGAAGCACTCTGGCAACATGGTAGAGTGTGTTGGAGTGAGCTCTCGTTTGCTGTCCTCATTCACCTCAGGGATGCAGAAGGCAATGTTTGCAGCAACTGCCACCTTTTGTGAGTATTTAGGGACCTGGCTCCAGAACCTTGCAGGCTACTTACTATGGATCTCGTTGTTGATGACATTCTCCTCAGAGGAGCCAGCAGAAAAGGAGTATGAACACCACAATCCAGTGTCTTTATAGAGAATGTTCTAAGATTTTTACATTTAGTCCAACAATCTCAGCAATCTTCCATGTAGGGTTACAGACTGGTTCATTCTGGTTCAGTCCCTGCTGAGAATTTGCCTTTCTACTCTAGATACAGTGAATCAGCATCTACGGTTTAACAGGATCCCCAGGTGATTCTTATGAGAATTATCCGGAGAACGTGTTTAAATGTGGATTCAATATATCGAAGGATCCCTGGCAGTAAAGTGGGTTAAACTCTGGTGGGTGGTTCAAAACCACCAGCCTCTTTCAAGGGAGAAAGATGACACCATTTGCTGCTGTAAAGATTTATAGTGTCTCGGAAACCCTAAGGAATAGTTCTACTCTATTCTATAGGGTCTCTGTGAGTCAGTATCAGGTCGATGGCAGTGAGTTCAGTATATCTTGGGTACAAATGCAAATTCTCAGTACTGGGTAGAACTGGTTTAAAGCCCTGCTTTTAAGGCAAGATATTCTTATATTTTGGAAGACTATTGCATTTGGCTGGTGAGAAGACCTTTGTTCCTCATCATTTCAGATAATTAAACCCCAGAAATAATCTACTAAGGAAAAATAACAGAAAATGACTTTGCATATTTAAACAAGCATTTGACTGCTTTTAACTTTTTAGGCTTTTTGCACTTCATCCACTTGGGCAAGAGTGTACATATAAGAGGGTTAGATGTAATTTTTCTACAAAAAGTGAAAACTCCATCATATTTCCTAAGGATTACTTTCCAGGATGGCACAGCTCGCAGCTTAGATGAAGGAGTTCACATAAGTAATTTTGTTCTCTGTTGGCCTTTTTTTCTAACTGGCCAAGAAGGACCTTGGTGTTAGTCTTCGAGGCCTTTCTGATTCATGGAAACCCTACATGTTCTATAGGGTTTTCTTGGCTATAGTTGCAATGGAAATAGATTGTTACAACTTCTTCTGGGTTGCCTCTGGGTGGATTTGAACCACCCAAATTTTAAGTTAACAGTCAACTACTTAACTGTTTGACCACTCTTGTATATCTAGAAAGTCCTTACTTAATGGCCCTCAGGTAAGTAAGAAGTATATTTTTAATTTAAATATTCCCATATTTATTATTGTTGTTGTTTCTGACTTATGAAGACCACCGGACTGCTCCATAGGGTTTCCTTGGCTGTAATCTCTATGGAGGTAGACTGATAGGGCTATATTTTCATGGTACCACTGTATGAGTTTAAACTGCCAATGTTTGGTTACCAGCCAAGCACAACCATTTATGCTACCCAGGAGTGGTGGTGTGATGCTGTAGGATAAGCACTGGACTGCTAACCGCAAGTCACAAGTGACATGGCACTTAACAACAACAATAACAGGGACTTATAGTGATTTATAGAATAACTTAAAAAAAAAAAAAGTTAGTGGAAACAGACACCTACATACAATGGAAGGTTTTTGAGCAAATTGAATAGAATATAATTAACTCTAGTTAATATTAGAATCTGCCCAGTTTCTGAGAATTATAATCTTGCTTTTTGGCTATTTAGTTAAAATTTTAAAATTTCAATTTTAGCATTGGTGATATTTTGGGTCAGGTAACTATTTGTTGTAAATGTTTACTATGCATTATAGAATATTTTGCAAGCTCCTTGGTCTCAGCCCAGTAGATTATAGTAGCATCCCTCTACCTGGTTGTGAAGATGACAAATTTATCTGTTGTTGTGTGCCGTGGAGTCAGTTCTGACACACAGCGATCCTGCGTAGGGTTTCCAAGGAGCATCTGGTGAGTTTGAACCTCTGACCTTGTGTGGTTCAAACGGACCTTGCAGTCCAGTGCTTCAACCCACAGCACCACACCACACTAGATTGTAGACATTGCCAAATATTCTCTCAGGGTGAACCACTGACCTATTCTTATGCCATATTATCCAAACCAAGTCAAATGATAAGCTGGCTTAACTCTTGGGGGGAAGATCAATTTTAAGATATGGAGAACGTTCTCATGTAATAGTTTTTGTATATCTTTGCATATTATATATTCCACATAGTCTATTGTGAGGATACTGTTTCTGATCTCAAAAGGACTGAATATTTGTCGATAGAAACACTGTTCTACATGTGGTTAGGTACCAGGTCAACAGCAACAACAAAAAACATGGAAGTCTTTTTGACCAGAGAGCAACTGAAGAACAGCACTGTGGAATAGAAATACCACCCTTATAATATTCCTCAAAATGGAATTTGCTCAGAATTCTTGTGTGGACTGCCAAGAACAAAGCTCCCCTATTGGAGAGAATGAAAGCCTTCTCTCAGACCCTGTTGTGGCCCTACCATCCTCCCATTTCTTTCATCAGAGATCAGAAATTCCTAACACCCCAAATGTTTGGTGAGGATTTGGAGTTCAACGTATAGTGAGAACGGGAGTGCTTCTTTTTAATAAAAACTTTTAATCTAAGTATAACATACACAGAAGAGTGCACAAATCTTAAATTTATGGCTCAGCAAATGATCCCAAACTAAATGCACTCAGATGAACACTTTTCTGGCCAATCAGTAGAACCCAGTACATGAACTAGATGGCATAAGGCAACAACAGCAACAAATATGAAAATATTTAAAAATATACTTCTTATTTACCTGAGGGCCAATAAGTAAGGCCATAGGTACTTTCTAGGCATACACCTGGGTGGGTGGTACATACAGTTAAGTACTTGACTGCTAACTTAAAATTTGGGTGGTTCAAAACCACCCAGAGGCAACATAGAAGAAAGGTGTAACCGTCTGCTTCCATTACAATTAGAGTCAAGAAAACCCCTCTGTTGTTGTTGTCGTTCAGTTCTATCTGTAACACATGGAGTCTCCATGAGTCTGAAGTGCCTCGATGACAACTAACGACAAGGCCCTTTGTGGCCAATTAGAAAGAAAGAACAACAGAGAATAAAGTCACTTAAGTGAAGACTTTCAAATAGGTTTCTAGCTATGCCAAACTTGTGCTCTCTCCCATTCACATTGACCCTCCCCCAAATTAACTGCTATCCTGACTTCTAACACTATTGATTAATTTTGCCTGATTTTAAACATTCTAAACCGTTAGGTGCTATGTTGTTATTGTTATTTGTCATAGGTTGATTCTGACTCATTGTGACCCCATGCTTGCAGAGTAGACTGCTCTATAGGGTTTCTAAGGCTGGGGCCTTTGGGAAGCAGATTGTCAGGTTTGTCTTCCAAGATGCTTCTAGGTGGGTTCAAATTGCCAACCTTTCAGTTAATAGTAGAGAACTAAATTGTTTGTGTCATCTAGGGATCTGGGTTTGATGCTATAGGCTCTGAAACAGACTTTATAATGAAATATGCCCATGATGGATAGCTTAGAGGGTTTCTGAAATAAGAAGAATAAGGAACATTACCTTTTTTCCATTTTCAAGTAATCTTATGCTCACTCTTAGCTGCTGACTTGTCAGACACATGCCAAGAGACTTAGTAGCATTAAGCAAATAGTGCTTATAAATTAAAACTTGCTTTTAATTAACGAGAGTTGGACTATAATCTATGAATAATTATTTACTCAATAAAGTTAATTATAGTCCGGCATATGTGACCGAAGCCATAATATTAATCAAATCCATCCTGACCTTTTCACTATAGTCTGTGGTAAGAATGTAAATAGAATAAAATGACATCAATACATTTGGGAGGCAGCAAAGTCCAGTGGTTAAAAACAACAACTCTGACTGTTAGATCAGGGCTGAGTCCTGGCTATGATGATACTTAGCGACTTTGTTCTCTTAGTCTAACTACTTAATCTCTCTGGCTCTCAGTTTCCTCATCTGTAAATTAGGGATAATAGCAGACCTACCTTTTAAGGTGGTTATGAGGTAGAGTAAATGAGTTAATATATGTAAAGCACCATCTGCTTCCTGTTACTACTAACTCTCTTAGCATTAGAAAGGAAGCATAAAGTCCAAGACACATGTAGAAAGTTAAATACTTACTACGCAGCTGAAATTAGGGATGGTTGCATATTTGTAAGAATAGGGATACAGCAACATCTGAGCATATGCATGAAAGGAGAGGTAAGCCCTAATGTGCTTTTTGTGTTTTCGGAGGAAGTTGGCTACAGCTTTCACTTCTGGCTCAGATTCTGGGAAAGGTCCACAGTATGTGTCGTCACAAGGGTGCATAGAAGCTCCTTCATCTGCAAAGTTGGAAAAGAAGATTGGTTGGGAGAAGGGGCAGCGAAAAAGCCAGAAATATGAATCAACATTGTTAAATTGTGATTTTTCTTTTTCTTACATAAACATATAGTAGTACTAAGGAATCATCTCATTTCTAATTTTATGGAATTCAATACTGAGAAACTCAAGGTGATCCAAACCACCAGAGCAATAGGCAGCATGAATAGGAAACAGACATTAGCTGTTTCCTGCACAAACCACTCTACTTGGGTGGTTTTGTGAGCTGTTGGTTCTTTTGCTGACCCCCAGAGTAGATTAGGTCTTCTGTTTGTATACTCCATAAGACCTGAACTTTTCCTTTATAGCACCTAACACACTTGTCATCAGTGTCATTTTATACTGTTCTAGGTGTTTTCTGAGATACGCTGCTAAACAATACAGGACAAAATCTCTGCTAACATAGACTCTACATTAAAACTGGATTCCCTTTTAGACTCTAATGTTCCATAACGACAGAATGCATCAAACAACTTTTTACTATGCCTTCAGATCAGCAGTATCCAAATTGATTTTATAAAACTCAAGCAGCTTTTCCAGGTATCTTGGGGCCCGTTACGGCACAGCTAAGAAATTTTCAACATGAAATTTTAGTAATTTTTAAATTATCATGTAAGACACACTTTTTAGGAGATCTGTGGAGAGAGGTAGAAGGAAATAAGATTCCACTATATCAATCAAGTATAACAGTTCTAAGAAATTTTGGAAACTTAAGTTTTTCATTGTTATTTAGTATTTCAGGCATTACTATCTCTGCCCTGTGCCTGGGAAAGCATAACTCTCTCCATAAATTGGTTTTGTGATTCTGTGATGTTGTCAAATTCTACTGAATATAAAAAGACAACAAAGTCAAAGCAGGTTAAATCTTGAGTACATTAAGTCTAGTTTATGATATAGAAGAGTCATGGGTAAAGATGATAAACTAATAGCAATTGTGGGATTCCTTCTTTGACCCTAAGCCTAGAAATGCCCCCAGAAGCAAGTGGAAGAAGGGTGGAACTTAGTATAAAAACAATAGGTGATACTCCCAAGGGAACGGAAAAAATAAAGAGACATCTGAGGAACAACGATGTCTGAGAACTGCAAAGACAGACCACAACTGATCCACTGATTTTGGAAAGAACAGAACTAATGAGCCAGGGAAATATCACAATTTAAAATAATCCAAATATATTCTCAAAGATCTATAGGAAAACACTGGAAATCTGTATGAGACAAAGACCAAAACCAAACCTGTTGCCTACGAGTCAGTTCTGACTCATGATAGCTCTATGCATCACAGAGTAGAACTGCTCCATAGCTTTTTTTTTAAATGTAAATTTTACAGAAGAAGATTCCAGGGCCTTCTGTGGTGCCACTGGACAAAGAGTTATAAAATAGAACCAATCAGAAGTAGTGGGTAGAAATAAATAATTGAATCTGGGTTGAAAGACTATACTTCATGAATGAATTAGTGAGGTGGAGCAGGTTTTGAGATGCTGCCAGTAAACATCAGGAATGGATAAAGAGTTGAAAAGTGAGAGAAAAATGAAAAGACATAAAAAATGGAAGTACAAATATCTGACTAAAAATAGTCTTAGAAGGAGAGAGAAAAATAAATAAAATGAGGCTAACTATTTGAAGAACTACTAATGGAAAGCTTCTCACAATTAAAGAAAGATTGAATGGATCTATTCTGTACCAAACAAGAGCCATAAACGAGGAAGTAGCAACACTTGACACATTAAAGTGAATATTTTCCAGAGGGGGTGGGAAAAGCAGGCCATCTAGAAAAGAATAAAAATCAGAGTCATATTTTAACTTTCCAATGACAGCTCTAGAGTATTTTGAAAGTTTTTTTTTTTTTTTTAAAGGATCCTTGAACTTATACTTTTAATATCTATGTGAGTTCTCAAAACCAATTACTGAGTACTAGTCCCGACTTGTTCCTGCAAGATGTTGTTGTTAAGTGCCATCGAGTCAGTTCCAACTCATAGCCATCCTGTATAGGGTTTTTGAGGAGCAGCTGGTGAGTTTGAACTATCAACCTTGCGATTCAAACCAACCTTGCAGTCCAGTGCACTAACCCGCAATGCCACACCAGTATGCGAATAGGCAACTTTAACTTGAGAACTTCCCATTGATATGGCCAAACTTTATTTACAACTGTACTTTGGACTGAGATTCTTTCAATCCAATCCTTCTCCTTGCCCCCTTCCTTTATAAATGCCAGACCTGCATCATGATCTGAAGGCTTTCATAGCCGACTCTTTTAAGATGTCAGCAAGGCCATTCTCTTTATGAAGATTCTCAGGGAGGATACTTGTGGTTATTGGTAATCCTTGACATTCCTTGGCTTGTAGATGCATCACACCAGTCTCTACCTCTATCTTTCCATGGTCACCTTTCCTGTGTGCTTGTCTCTCAGTGTTTCTTTTCTTTTTATAAGAAACCCAGTCATATTGGATTTAGTGTTCATTCTATTCCAGTATGACTTCATTTGTAACTGATTACATCTGCAAAGGCCCTATTTCCAAATAAGGTCCTATTCTGAGTTTCTGGGAATGACAGAAATTTTGGAGGAACAATATTCAACCTCGTCCAGGAATGGTACCAAGAAGAAACATTAAAGAAATACTTAGAAGATTAAACTGTCAGAGTTAGGTAACTGGCTAAACATGAAGAATGAAAGGTGAATCCCATTTTAGATATGTTGAGTTTCAGAAGGTTGGGGAATGCTGGTGTTGTTATTTACTGTTGAGTTGATTCTGACCCACAGCTACCCCATATGACGGAGCAAAACTGCCCCATAGAGTGTTCTTGGCTGCAGTCTTTACAGAAGTAGATCACGAGGTCTTATAGAGAAAGACCCGGTGATCTGCTTCTCTTGAAGACCTGCTTGGTGGTTTCCAACTGTCAACCTTTCTGTTTAATAGCTGGAAGCTTAACTGCATGCATTACCTGGGCTCATTGGGAATGCCAGTTGTTGTTGTTAAATGCTATCAAGTTAGTTCAACTCACAGAGACCCTTTACAGGGTTTCCAAGGCTTGTAAGTCTTTGCAGGATCAGAAATTCTCATCATTCTCCCATGGAGTGGTTGGTAGGCTTGAAGCACTGACCTTGTGGTTCACAGTGCGGTACTTATCCTACAGAGCCACTGTGCTCCCGGAATGCCAGTAGAGATGTCTAGTAGGCTACTGAATATGAGTATGACACTTAAATGAAACAGTAAGCTAAAGAAAAAGATTTGTGAGTCATCACTATTTTATGAGAGTGTTGTAGTTGTTATGTGCCATCGAGTCAGAGTCAAGTTATAGTGACTTTGTGTAGGGTTTCTGAGGATCAGTTAGTGGGTTTGAACCACTAATCTAGCAGCTAGCAGTCCAGTGCTTATCTTTCAGTGTCATGGAAAAACAAAAATCAAGTCAAACTATGGAGAAACACCAGTATTCAAGGGTTAAGAAGATTAAGAAAAACTTAACATTCAGACTAAGAAGTTGTCCTGAAGTTACAATTTCAAATCTTAGCAACCCCATATACAGAACAAAACACTGCCTGGTTCTGCGCCATCCTCATGCTTATTGTTACTTTTGAGTCCGTTATTGTTGTCATTTTGTCAATCCCTCTACTTGGAGGTCTTCTTCTTTTTTGTTAACCCTCCACTTTACCAGCATGATGTCCTTTTCCAGGGACTGTTCCCTCCTAATATGTCCCAAGTATGAGAGATGAAGTCTCACCATCTTTACTTCTAAGGAGCATTCTGGCTGTACTCTTCCATGTTCTTCTGGAAGTTTATGGTACTTATAATACTCTTTTTCAACACCATAATTCAAATGCATCAATTTTTCAATGGCTTTCCTTATTCATTGCCCAACTTTCCTTTTTCTGCCCATTCTTTCATCCTTTATTCCTCAATAGCCTGGTATTCACATTTGCAACCCCTGATATTTGGGATCTTAGGTCTTAAGTATACACTAAATACAATGTTAAGGAAATGATTCATTATAGCTTTAATACACACACACACATATTTTCTATAGAAAAAGCAAAGCACTTTTATTGGGAAAATAAATATGCACTTACAGTTCCTGACACCGTCTCTAAGATTTCCCAAATACAAATTCATCCAAGATGATTATTTGGGCATTTTACAACACAATTATTAGGCATTCACAGTACTTAAGGACAACTTGATTTAACATAATGTCAGTATAAGATCAGTTCTGGTGTGGTGCTGTAGGATAAGCATTCGACCATAAGGTTGGTTTGAACCACAAGGTTGGCAGTCAAACTCACGAACCACTCCTTAGAATCCCTATATAGGTTCATGATGGGTCGGAACTGACTCGACACCTGACAACAAGAAGTATAAAATCAAGGAAAGTTCTCTTCTTTTTATGATAGTTAGACATGGACATGAACTGAAGGAAATGGGTCATCCCAACTTTCATCTATATGATAACCTTGTGCAAAAAAAAATTTTTTTTTTAAGTTTTTGTGAATTGAATGAAAATTTACAGGGCAGGTCATCAGTTTTACATTCAACAAATCATATATCTTGTTTCATTACAATGATTATAATCCCTTTCATGTACCATCAGTTAACAGTATTTATCTCTATTCATTTTAGATCTTTTTGTTTTTTAAACACTCAGGCATATATAATAATTTACACCACCAGAGGACACATTCTGCAAGTCTGCCTCCTGGAGGCTAGCTCTCAGTCCCTCTCTTCCCATGAATCTAGAGTCTTCAGCTGCTCCCCCTCTCCATGACCCCATCTTGCTTCCATCTCTGGTGTCACTGCTTCACTGGATAAGGTTCTGCATTCCACTTGTGCTCTTCTCCCTTGATGGCCCTAGGGTCCTCTGTTTCTGAACTGTAAGGTTAGCTCCTCCCCCATTTTTGTTACGAAACTTCTACCTTAACAATTGTGACATTGAAATTAGTCATGATAACAATTACTCACAATTGAATCATAAG